CTACCATCAAAATCCATTAAAGCTTTTCCGGCAAGTGACATTGAAGCAGGAAGGGGATGAAAACATTACGCTCCAAAATAAATGATTATTATGATTATTTGCCATGCATAAATTTATTATAGAAGATCAGCAGCCTGGTCACAGAGCAAGAGGCACCTTTAGACCGTGTGCGGTGTTGGAGGCAGGAGACTTTGCCTCTTTACCTTGCCTGACCTACAATTCTTGTGCGATTCTGCTATTCTTAGCAAAGCCCTTGCAAGAGGGCAGCCAGGAGGCCTCAGCACCCTCCTCGCCCTCTCCCTTGTCAAGGTAATTGGAGATTAACTCGGTGATTAGGTGGCTTTCCCAAATCAGGTATTGTTTAAGTTCAGCTATGGGTAAACTACTGCGCACAAAAAGAAAGAATATTACAACCAATCAAAAAACTTAAAAGTATATCTATTTCCCCTAAGGCTCAACACATCCCAAAGAGCTCGGGAAGTCCAGCAGTTCCAGATCTGCTCCCCTCACACACTCCCATAGCCAGCAGCTGTACTCTGCCCTCTCCTCTCCTTCCCATCCTGGGGTTTCGGTCATCCCGAGGGTGGCTACAACAGCTGTGTAAATAGAGCTGCAGCAAAGAAGCTGCCTGGGCACCGGCACTGGCTCTGGAGCGCTCCCCCCTGCCCTCCCAACCTGCCTACGAGCACGTACGTGGTCTGCAAGCTCTGCCTAGCCTGCTCCTGGCGAGTCCGTCTTCTTAGATCACGGGGTTGCCTTTGAATAAAACCAATACGTGAAAATACAGCAATATGCTACGAGCTGGGCAGCCGGAGGGAGCGCGGGGCAGCTCTCCCCCAGCAGTGTCCAGGTACCCCTCATCACACACTGCAAGGACCACCGAAACGGGAGACCGACACCGAACTCTGCACCTCTTGGGAGGGTTTCTTATCCGTTTTCTGAGCTCAGCCTTTGAAAACGCATTTTTGCTTCTTCACAGCTAGTTTAAGATGACTTAGAAGAAGTGCCAAGTAACAGCTGTACATCGCCCCTTCAATTTGTTCTCTGATCACGGAGTGAAACCATGCGATGTCTCTACACACCCCATCGCTAGGAGTTTTAAGCTTTATATTTATCTTCGTTTTAAAAACACAGGACTTCACCCACATAGTTGCGAACATTGTACTGCTGCTAAAAATAACCCCAGCCTGCAAAGCAGCGTGAAGGGGCTGGCCTTCACCCTACCTATCGGGCAGGAATCAGAAGAATTAGTGCTTTCCTCATCTCCCAGACTAAACAAATTAGGTTATGCCCATGCCCAGCTCCCTAAACATCTCTTCCAGGAATAACAATAGGGGAGTTGCTGCTATTGTTTGGGGATTTTTGTTTTGTTTTGGGGGGATTTTTTTTTTTTTTTTTTTTTTCGGGGGTGTGAGGCTTTGGGTATTGAGATGGCTGCGAACCGTGACCTTCCTGAAAGATGAGTCATGGGACAGTAAAGAGAAAATACCAGCCCAAAAAGCACTGACTCATTCCTAGATTTCTCTCTCAAAATAACTTAGCTCGGGAACATAGCATTCCGGGCCTACAAATCCCGCCTGCTGTGGGCACCTCGCTTGGGACGGCCCACGAGGGTCGGCGCGGCACAGCCAGGCTCCCTGTGTTTCCATGCTCTGCTTCACCAGGCCCTTCCTCGCAGCACCTGAGCCCGTCTCAGAGGCCGAGCTATGCTGCTTTTTACCTAAAAGCTTCAGCTCGACACCAGTTAACCTTCTACTCCGGGCAAGCAAACCCTCCAAGAGCCTGATAAATGTCTGCAGCCCGGAGTTTGCTCTCTGGCAGCGCCATGTGCTGCGGCGCAGTGAGAGCCTGGGTCGGGCCTAGCGGCCGCGGCCTTTGATCTATCTGGGCTGTTCCCAGCTGCTTTATCCCGGGCAACACAAAGTCGACCAGCTGGAGGTACTGCTTGGATCAGTAAAGGATCAGTAAAACATGAAAGCTTAAGGAGAGAAAGGTTTTGCCTCGCTCCTTGCTGAAATCCAAATATTTAGGAGTTTTCAACTGGAAACGCACATTCAGTGCAACGTGCAACATAAACACGATGCCAAGGCCTCGAGCGGAGCTCCCAGCTCGCAGTGCTCCTTGCTGGGTGAAGTGGCCGTAGATCAAAACGCGGCTACAGAAAGCAAAGATGGGATCCCAAGGGCTGGCTACCGCAAGGTGACTGTACGTGTGTAAACAACTGCGGCAGCGTCACACTCGCTCTCGTACGACAACCCCGAGACAACAAGGATAAAGCTACAAACACGTGTGGTTTGCTCATTTTTAACAGCGCTGCACTGTTCTAAAATGTAATCCTGCACCTTCTTTATGAAGTAGCAGTTCAAGGCATTTACAAAATGGCTTGAATATCATTTACAGTACATTTTAGCAAAATTTATTTTAAAGCTTAAATAGCACAACTCCAGCATTGTAACAAAATTGCAACTGCGTGCTCAGCTCCTTTAAAGATATGCCTACGCATACGAGAATTTATTTAGGCCAGATCTGTCAATTCAGTCCATGGAAAAGAGTGATCCAAGGCTGACAGAACTGTGCCAGCAGAAACTCGAACAGCTAAGGTATCGAACACAGACAGTTTGTCTGTACTTGGCCGCTCTGTCATATTCAAAGCAAACAGAGCAAAAACAAAACAACAAAAAAAAACACATACAGATTTGCATAAGTGTCTACAGCCATTTCTGATTATTTTACTCAAAAGACAAAGCTGGGTAATGAAGAATTCACAAGTTTTAATTTTCCAGTTCTAAGTCAATATTAAACATCACACAATAGCAACTGTGCCATTTTAGAAACACAATTCTCCATCTTCTTCCGCTTCTTCCTCCAAAGTTGTCTTGCATCATTCACATCTCTGTATCCATTAAGTTTTTACGCGCACAAGACTTCTGGGAGACTCCGCTATGCGGCACCGAACACGGTTGACCTTTCCAGGCAACATCCCTTTTCAACCATTTCTAATAAAAGCCTAATAAAAACTTGAAATAAAGCAGATCTTAGTATCCTACAGCTTGTTTACTGGGTAAAAGCACCCAACCTGCTACATCAGCTTCCCAAACTTGGCAGTACTGCACATGCAACAGGAAGAAAAACATTAAGATGTTACAGCAATTATGCCCTAGATTCATAAGGCTAAATATATGTATATTTATATGGATATATCCCTTTCACAATGCTGCTAGTAGTCTACATTTTGATGTGTCACCAGTTACACGAACAGAAGTACCTGGCTTTAGGGAGATAGGTTTAAATCTATCTTAATTCTGCTTTAAATCTAGCAATCTTTATTTGTAGGTTTCTAAATGAGATTTGTTTTGCCTATGTAAAAGGCCTACAACAAATTAGAGCCTTTAATATCTCTTTGCACATTCTCTTCCCTGCCGTAAGAACCAAAGAGGAAATTTGGCCAAAGCTCATGTACATCGGAATCCCTCATCCAGCTTAAGAACTGTGACGCTGCAGATGCAAGTTAAGCACCACGTGCACGCACACATGACGAGTGCCCAACACTGGCTGTTGGGTGTTACACATAACTCAAATCACACTCTGCTGCATTGAAGATTTTTGAAATAGTGTAAAGAGGGTTGTGTCTCAGCCAGAAGCTTCTAATGCACTTCATCCCTTCAAAAAGCAGTCGCTGCTGTTACTCCTGTCTTCTGTGAACATACACACAATACCACTCGCTTAGGCTTTAATGGGATACCTACAATTTGTAACAATGTCACATTTAAGAGTTTGTTTTCAGTAGAAATAGTTGTACTGTTATTGGCCTCAGTCTGCGCAGAGGCCGATGAGAACACACCACTGTGCTGCAAGAAGTCAGACACCTTCTCTCTACAGTCTTGTTTTGAATTGTTTATTTAGGTTTAAGAACTCATCCACATTTCTATAAATATAGACATTACTTGAGTAAGTGACTTACAATGTCACCAGTGCAGGTACATATATAACCAACATACAAAAGCTCCACTGGAAGCTACTTCAGTTTATTCAAAAAGGACCAAGATGTCATTAAAAATAAAAATAATAAAAAAGGAAAAAATCCACAGCTGTTACTTTCAGTTATTGAAGACACTAAAGTGCATTTTTGGTTACCTCCTGGACAAACAGCTGCTGGTTAAAAAAAAAAAATTAAACATATCTAACTTACATTGATTGACATTCAGGTTTGTAGCTGTCATCCTCATGATACATGGCAGCAGGTAAGAAAAAGTATTACTTTGCTGTCTGAATAAGAGGAGGAAATAGTTTTTTTTTTTTCTTTTTTAAATCTGGTATTTCCAACAAAAGTCTAACAAGAATCTAACATTCTGATGATTTTTACAGCACCACTAAAGTTAGTCTTAAAAATCCAGGCTCTCTTTTAGCCCTTTTAATTGCTAGCCAAGTATCTAAAGAGTCACTTGAAGCTCTGTACCAATAAGAAAAGAAACTCCCTTTTCTGTCAAGAACGATCCTGCCCAGTTAACACTGTTTGCACACTCTGTAAACAAAAACAGCTTAAAGCATAAGTAAAGCAGAACACAGGCCCATCTTTAAAAGTCTTCTTCCCCACTTCCCACCCCCATAGTGTCAAATGTTTTGAGTGTATAAAGTATTAATACATTCCTAACCACAAAATACTTGAAAAGTCACAATCAAAAAAAAGGCAAAAAAAGGGAAAAAAGTGTATGTTGGAAGTGACAGAGCAATACCACTTTAATAAAATGGGTATTTAGGGGAGATAAAACATGTGCTCTGCTAAGTTTAACTCCATCTTTACTTCATTATGACTTAGTTTTATCATCAAAAATGTCACCCATAGAGCTAAAAATGCTGCACTGGTTATAACCACAACAGCCAAAGTTGTTCTTTATAACTCCCTTACCACAATTAATTTACTCTTATATTGATAGCATGAGGACATAATATGCATCATTCAAAAATAAATTAAGGACTCGGAGTAAGTTTTTTTTGTGATTTACAGATGTTTAAACCCGATTAGCACTGTATAGTGATGAATGGCTACTTCTAAAAAATAAAAACCTTGCATATCAAAAACATGCTATACGTTGGGAAACCACTTCTCCATGCTCCAGCGTGTTGTTTATATTTTACTTGTCAAACAAGTCTTTATCAGCTGAAGAATCCACAGCACTGATGTTTCAAGTATTTGAACTGAGCATGATTCGATTTCAGAAGTGCCAAATTAGAAAAACTACACGTGTAGCCAAGCTTTCATAGAGATCCCCAAATAAAATAAATACAGCCTCCTGAAGTAATGGGTTACTAGCTCCATAGATGTTTTTAAAGCTGTATAATGTTCACCTAAACACTCCACGTACGAGCATTAGAAGTTTAAAAAACACAGAACACCTTCAATGCAAACTGATTGCAGAGGGTACCCTCAAACATATGAATACAACACTACGCAAAAATCCCTCGTTTTATTTGGCTATTTAGACATCCATGTCACATTTACCCACCCATCCATTTCCTGATAGCATTACATTACCTATTAGGGCTTCTGAAATAATGCAGAGCCTTAAAACTCAGAAGAGACTATTAAAAGGAAAAATAAAAATAAAAATAAACTCCGCAACTGCACAGCCTCCCACAAGGCCAGGTTGTGCAACCGAGTGTTTAACATAACTAAGCTTAACGGCATCCACGCACGCAGGCAGGCCTGGGTTTGGAAGCTGTCTCACGTCAAATTTTGACCGTGTAGCTACTCTGGAAGAGGAAGGTCAGCCTGGAACTCATCTCTTCTTTTTCTGCTGCCTCAACATTTTCCTTCGCTTAATTATCATGTCGTGTAACTTCTCTAGTCCCTCTTTGAGCCCGTCCCCAATGATCGCACACGTAGGCTGCAAATGCCATGGGGTGGACGAGCTCAGCTCGCTCATCGCCAGCATCTTCTCAATTTCGGTGAGAGACAGTGAGTTCCTCAAGTCCTGCTTGTTAGCCACTATAAGCACAGGCACTCCTTGATTTTCTGATATCCTAGTGATTTTGTGCAGTTCCGTTTTGGCCTCCTCCATCCTCTCGACGTCGACGGAGTCCACCACGAACACGATGCCGTCGGTGCAGCGCGTGTACGACTTCCAGAGGGGCCGCAGCTTCTCCTGGCCGCCCACATCCCAGAAGTGGAAAGTGACCGTCTTGGAGTTGCCCAGCGTCACCTTGATCTTCTCCGTGTTGAAGCCCTTCGTGGGCACGGTGTTGACGAACTCGTTGAACTGCAGCCGGTAGAGCACCGTGGTCTTGCCGGCCGAGTCGAGGCCCAGGATGACGATGTGGAAGCACTGGAAGGAGGGCAGGCTGGACAGCAGCGGCGCCTGCTCCGAGAGTCCATTCCCCA